TTTCAAATGAAGTAAGTGCAACTATAAAACGCTGTTTAAGAAGGGCCACTCTAGAGAATTCGGTAACGATAATCGAAATACCACCGAATAATCTAAGGCGCCAGCTAGTTCGTAACCACCTATACGACCGTCTATGTGCAACGAAAAATTGCATAATTTGTCCCAATGGTAGAGACGGTGACTGCATGAGTTCGGGCACAGTCTATCTGATCTCTTGTAAAGCGTGCGGGGACGAATACGTTGGCGAAACGGGTAGACCACTCTGCGTACGTATAAAAGAACACCTAGTCGGCAAACGTAAGCCAAGTACTCCACTAGGTACGCGTAGCACGCAGAAACATAACGGAGAAGATTTTGAAGTAAGGGTTACGATCCTCGAATCGAGAACACAAGCGCGCAAAACTCTGGAGGCATTGTGGATTAATTCCAAGAATCCGAAAATGAGCCGCAGGGAGGAATGCCTCGTTATCACGCGCGATATTGGACAGTATATAAACCTGTTATTCTGATGGGAGGAGCACATTACGCTTCCATGTGAACTTGGTGTGGTCGGTCTTCACGCTACATACTCAGTGGAAGACTCATAGAAAGCGGTGAGTGTGCAGAGCTATGCTAAATGTGATTGAATTCTTGGTTTGGCGTTTTCTCTGTTTGGTTATGGAGGTGTTTGGCCGAATGGATTGCTGTCATGTTGACCCTTCCAGGCTCTGAGGAAGGCGAAATCCGCCGAAACGTCAGCTTGTGCGTAAATAAAGAAATAAAATAGCACCTCGTGTTTGCTGAACAGAAGTAGAAAGATATGAGAGTGTCCATTTTTTCACCTATCTTTTCGTCAAAGAAACAAATGCAAACTAATCTCTTTTCTTCATTCTCTCACTACAGTAACTAGCCCGCGTGTCTGATTTTTGTAGATTATGTCTGGCTCGACATCAATTCTCAGTACAGCATACGATTTCAATTTCAGCAGCAGTACGGAATATTGCAGATGTGCTCGTAGCCAAGTGAGAGCTCCTATGTGTTTCCGTCAGTTCATGCGTACTCGTGGAAGGATAGTCCTTCGTGAGTGTGAAGAGCCAGAACTGGCGAAAAACAGTGTAGCCATAGGTATCCACCTAGGTCTAATGCTCGGTTTTCTTGATGGTAACGTCGAAAGTGTTCTTATAGTGAGAGCTACTCGTCTTAAATTTACTCATATTTGATGTCTATTTTGTTTTCTGTTGATCTCGTTTACTTTTTTCCTTTGTTTTTGTATAAAGGAGGAATACGTGGGAGGTTCTTGAACATATTGAATCATAGTGGACGCAGCAGCTGTTTGAGCGGTGAGCGTAGCACGGTGGTAGTGATCTCTTTCAATATGCGAAAGCCCTGTTCGGTCACACCCTAGGGCAACAAAACCTCTCATCTCTACAGAGTCGGAGAATTTGGGCCAAAGTTATCTAGAAAATCCTCCTTCTCCTCTCCTAGTTCCTATCGCTTAGGTAGGCTTTAGCACAGCTGTCTCAAGAATACAGAGAGTATCAACTTGACCAGTATTCAAAGAACTTCGTAAAGAGGACGAAATCTTCAATCGGAAGCCAAAGCCACAAAAGTCTTCTCAACAATCCTAAGGTCTTCATGGACGATAGATGGAGGAAATATATTAAATTTAGCAAATGAAAAAAGTCCCTGTACCCGCACAATATTTATGAAGACAAGTGTAAAAAAAGCAACTGTTTAAAAGTGGAAAAGAAGTCGTTCTCTGATATGCTAAGTTCCTTCATCACCGACCAATAGCTCATCTGGAATGTCACACGAGAATGTGATGTACTATAGGCATATGTGAAATCCCAAGCCAAGAAACATAGCAAAATGACTAAAGCATATGATGCAGACCAAGTAGATACCCTGAGTTCTTTGCTCCTCAAGCCGTGAATTACAGTATTCTCCAAACTCGGTCTTGAGTTGCATAATTCGAAAAAATCCAAGGATCAAGACCTTGATACCTGCATACACACTGCATTATTTTCATATTTTTCTTCCTGTGGATCTCAAAATCATTTGAGATATCTTGTTTACTTATTCACATTAAGGCTTGTATTAAGAAAATGAACGATACTGAGCAGACGTGGATCCAGCAGAAGGCACTGATGTTCCCCGACACATCTTTAGTTTTGCCATGACTGCTTTTGCGTGGCATGTCTTAACAAGCTAAGATTCGGTTTCAGCTTCTTTATTTTTGAGAAATTCCAGTACTGTTTGTATTTCGCACAATATTTTACTTAATATCCTGCAGCAAAAAAGCGATAGGCGGTAAATAAGAGTTAAGACACAATAGTTTTGACTGCAACTTCAGCTGGACCAGGTTTAGTATTAATTTTTGTTCCCCAGATCACTCTCGCTGACGAATCAATGCTGATTGCACCGTTAGGGCTAAAAACTGGCTGAAAAAAAGGCTAAACAAGGACCTTGGTTGGTTCAGTGAATAGCACATGAGTCCCCAGAAACGGCATTCACGGGTTCGGGGCCAGCTAAGGTTCCGAGTTTCGCAAATATCTCACCATTCCTGTGGTCATGTTTCACATAGCATCCTGCCATGAAAAAAACATAGGCGCCAAAGAGGAGTTAAAACGTTATCAATACTAAATGAATGGAGAAATTATCGTGTTTCCGAAAAACCTACTTCGTCAAACGGTCGTGTCCATATCAAGCTAACATTTAAAAATAAAACTAAACCTACATTAGTATGTAACAAGATGAGGTCATTTGAAAGGCTTCCTAGCGTCTTCCTCGTTTTTTACCAGAGAAAGTTATTCACTCATTTGTTAGATATTGTTCTCCCTAAAAACTGTGCGCCACTCAACATTCACATCTGTTGGTTCTAGTAGAGTTGGATAAAGCAACATTTACGTTTTCAGAACGCAAATCGTTTTTAGGTCTTCACGGATCGATGTCAAGACCCAAGTAGTGAGCGTGGGATGCCTACAGTACCCTGTTCTACAGTTTGCATATCACTTCTGGAGCCCGACGTTGAAGCTGGTAGGGCATACCGTATTGTGTCTGAACAGCTGTCCTTTCTCACTTTTAAAAATCGTTTTTTATTTAACTTCCATAAACTTTTAGGTGTTTTTATTGGTTACAAACATATTCGTGGTTGTATGGATCGAGTGTTACGGCACGGTTTTAACCAGACTGCTCTTCGTACGCACCGATTTCATAACCATGTGAGTTATGAATCTTCCTAAAATGTGGTCAGTGCTAAACCTTAATGATGAAGTGTTTGCCACATTGTAAAGTTGTTGTGCAGTTAATGAAAGCTAAAACTTTAAACTCGGTAAAATGCCTATTTTCCCTAATGTGTCACTATGTGTAACAATCCTCTTACTGTTCAGAACCATTGCCGAACTTTATCAAGAGCTCATTTATTCAATCCAGCTCGTGCTACTGATCCACCTGCTATTGGAGATGTTCAACTTTGTAGTTGTTACGGAGATCGATGTAATGGAAGTAATCAAGCTCAATTAGCAAGTACTCTAGTCTCCCTTGTGATAGCAGTTATCTTTTCATATATATTTCAATAATAGAGTTAGCTTACTAGGAAGGATCAACAACGTTAAGTCTGCGTAGTGAGCATCCCCTTAAAATTTGTTAGAGAATTCTTTGCGAGGGCTTTAATCCAAATTCTGATCAATTCCTAGACAATTGTAGCTTGTGATGAGGTGTCCATGTGGAAGAAAGCACATTACTTGCTTTAGATTTTTTAACCACTAATTGCTCTGAATGTCACCAAAACTGGTAATCATTTCATTCGCGAATGAATACGAGATATGGTAGCAATGAGACCGTATACCGTATCCGATAATTGCCGCTTTAATACGATATCAACCTAAAACTAAAAAGAAACTGTTCATTAGCAATTTGCACACGACATGCCCACTGTACTGCTAAGCAGTACTTCCTTTTGTGTCGTGAATATTAATAAATTGCAATAGTTCTACCAGCTGCCCAGCACTTCTACACCAATTCTCTAATGTCATACCATGACAAACAAGCCGAAGAAGCGATGGCGAGCCTTTGAAAGCGGGAAATTTCAGCGATTTGGTTAATTTCCATTGCATTTCGATCCATATGAAATCTATCTGCACCATATAATACTCAGTATAGCCGACTAGCACAATACAACATAACCATAGATTGAATGAGCCTAGTATTCCATATAGCAAGAAGTTTAGGTTGTTATATCTTCAAATGTTGACACTCAACATAATGACTATAGTCCAACGAAGACAGAGATATTCCTGATTTGCTCAGTATTCTGTTTACTTTGTGATGTTTCTTAGTCTAATAAGATCTCTTAACTTCCAATCACTCACTGCAGAGTTTACTATTCATACATTACGGGTCAATTACGTTTCGAAGATTTTATAACACCATCATCGTCAGTCCGAATCTTACAAAGCGACTTATCATCCGTATGAACAAATTTTTCTAGAGAGGAGCATGCATGCAGATTAAGTTTATTACTGTCTCGATTAATTGACATAGTTATGCGTAAGACTTCTGGATTTACGATGTTGGCCGTGTATGTCTTCATTGCGAATAAACGATTATTTTAAATTGTTGGATGTTTTTAATGGTGCTATTATGCTCCATAGTTGAACATCAATCCGATTCATGTGAACGCGAAACCGTTCAAACTGTCAAGGCTATACCGAGAGTAAACATTCAGAAGTACTGTATGAGTAGGACATTAGCAACTATGAAAGGACGATGAATGGACATTGACACTTAGGAAACCACATATGTAATATCGATTTAAAGAAGGTTATTATAAGGACAATATTACAAACGAAAATAAATTGGTCTAGTTTAAGTTTTGAAATGCGTAAGGTTTAGTTAACCTCGTTTCATGAACTTTAGATCAGAGTTTTGTAACATTCTCCGGAAGGAATTCAGATATTATTCATATATCAGTGCGCGTGTGAGGACGATACTACTTCATCATCTGTCTGCTAAAATCTCCGACTTTAGATGATATCCATATCACTGATAGACTATGTTGTACAATGAATATCTCCTTATGAGACCGTGTGACTCATTATGAGCCATCTATATCAAGGAAAGGAGACACTCCTCTGTGGTTTCTTGTGCAGAGTAGCATTTTTCTATCGCACCAATAATGATCGATATTTTTAACTACAATGATGCTGAGATATTTGCAAAACTCGGACCTCAGACCAGATTCGAACTCGCGATTATCCTTTCTGGGGCTCACGTGTTACTCACAGCACCATTGAGGATCTTAGTTTGCTTTTGTTTCTTAAAAAAAAGAATAATACACTGTCAACAAAAGCCTAGAGATTGCGATTTCGACTGTAGTCATAGCAAAACCGGGTTCGATGCCAATTGGTGTTCTCCAGAGTATTCCCGTTGGTAGGCAGTTGCTTATGGCACACGTGAGAGTAAAAAACTCGCTGAGGGAAACCAAGGATGCTGCTAGTGCAATAGATAACGCGTAAACTCTCGGAAAGGTAAACGCGGGTTCGAATCTAGCCTCGTGTCCCAGTTTTGCAATAATCTCAGCATCATTGTAGTTATCGTCGCTTTTCGATAACATCGTCTTTGTAACACAAAGCATTACCCAGGCGGAACGAATGCCGTAGTGCCTGTGGAAAGATTGTTCTTCGACTAAATGTTACAAAAACGATGTTCATGAGGAACAGATTGGTTACGTATGTCTTATTCACGGTCAATGGAACGAATGTGTCCGAATGCTCTACTTACGTTTATCTAGGTCGGGAAATCAACGATGAACGAGCAAGCTTGAGAGTTCAACAGAATAAGCTCGAGAGTTTAATAGGAGATAGCGAGAGGGTTGAGGAGCTTTAAAGATCATTGAGGATGTATTAAAGAGGACACAATGTACACCCGACTCCGTTCCCACTTTCTGGACTTCACGATTCTTTCTGTCTGTCGTATGTGTCAGAGACCTGATCACTGACTAAGCAGGATGGAAGACCATTCAGCATTGTAGAACGCGCAGTCGAAAGGACGATGCTCTCGCCTCCTGTACTCGTCTGCCATAACAAACAGTATTCTTTTACCGTTTTATTTACTGCCTATTTTTTTCTTTTTTAACGGCAGGGTATACATGGCGAAATATAACTTTAAAGATGCTGAGATATTTGCAAAACTCCGGACCGCAGGTGTCTGCGGTGGGGAACGAACGCGCTGTTGTCTTTTCCGGTGAGTAACGCTCTCACCACCACACCATGCGGGTCCTTCGTTTCGTCCGTCTCTCATCTAGCCGTTAAAAAAGAATAGGCAGTAAATAAAACGGTTAAGATTGTGATTATAACTGCACCCTCAGCTTAACTGGGTTCGTTGCCGATTTGGGCACCTCAGATCAATCCCGCTGACGTGTGGTTGTTGATGGCAAAAGATCGATAGAACTAACTGAGAGACAGGCGAAACGAAGGACCAGCATGGTGTGATGGTGAACGCGTTACTCCCCGCAAAGGACAAGAGCGCGTTCATTCCCCACCGCAGACACCTGCGGTCTGGAGTTTTGCAAATATCTCGGCATCAATAAAGTATTCTTTTATTTTTTCATACGTTACAAATACTATTTTCTCCAATCCTTTAAGAAATATGTATGATGAAAAGCTTCCACGATTGGTCCAAAGACGGAAACAAAACGGAAGGTGCCACGAAGTGGGAAAGATTATTTGCTAGAAGGAGGAGTCGGGAAAGCGATAAGGTCGATATGAGTTGATCTCAACTTATGGTGAATACAGCGAGAAATTAGGAATTAGAAAGGTGCTATAATCACTTAGGTTTAAGATTCGCCCTTAAAATGTTTAGGCTTATGCTATGAACTGGTGAGGAAATGATGGTGTTTGTAATGTAAAGTGATCTTTTAGGTTGATTTATATTTGAGATTTTGAGAAATGCCCTTAAACTTTCCTTCTACCACCACAGACGTAATCCTGCAAAACAATTTCTACTAAGGAATGTTCCTAACGTTCCTCCTAGTAGAATTTAAGCGAATACAAAGGTACTGCCATTTTGTTAAATAGAAATTGCAACTTTTACGACATAGGTTTATCCTGACTATTAAGAATCATACCGTTTAAAAAATATCTTACCAGCGGCAGGTACCTAAATACACAAGGAAAAAGAGTTAATGAGGAATCACTCATATTTGGAAAATGTGAGCTGGTCTAACTAGAAATTTATTAAAAGATAATGAATCTGTTGAAACTTCTTCACAGCCTTGAAAGACCAAATTGGCGCGAAATCAACTCAGCCAAACACTTTCGTAACCCAAGGAAAAACTGCTCGTTACGTAAATTTTATTTTCCCAGTAAACTGTTTTGAGCTTTCTAAGGTTCGAAGAAGGCAAAACTACTGAAATGTTATCCAGTATTGCACTAAATAAATCTGTTGAAGCTCTTATCCATAAGCGCTTGATAATTCTATTAAGATGTCCTTGGGGTACATTTTCAGCACTCTTAAAATATATTGCGAAAATTTTCGAGGGGTTTGCAAAAAAAATTAGTAACAAGAATAAAACCTACTTCATTGTTCTTTCTCTTTGAATTCGCGGCAAGATTTGGCAGTGGTGATTCCCTAATATAATGCGTATGGTAAATTCTGGTATTGCTTCAGATTTCTCCATACTATGTATACTAGAGTACTATATATTATGTAGAAGGATAGAAGGATAAAGCTCTCGGCCTTGACCAATCCCTGAGAGATACACTACGCATTCGACGTCATTAAGCATCGTTTGGAGGTGATTGAATGCATATCTGGCCTTTAAAACGACTGCCGGAGGCCTACCGATGAATCGAGCCAGTGCTGCTACTCTTCCAGACAGGTCTTGTCCCAATTTGCCGTCCCAGCAGGGATGGAAGGTTTGGTGGACCATGGGCGCGGGGATCGATCCTATGTGTGTTGCAGGATGCCTCCGACTACTGCGCCACACGCGCCCTCATTCATTACATAAGTAATTATCTATTTGTACTAGCTCCAGACCATAGGATTCCTAGTTAAACAATGACATTTTCATATTTCCAGGACATTTTTCCGTCATTAAATTTACTAATAATTTTAACGAAGTAAGCTAAGCACGGCATAAACATTGAAAAACTTATGTTTTAACTTTTACTTATTACATACTGTCGTTTTCTTGGCAGGGCACGATGCTAAATAGAACCATGGTGATGCTGAGATATGAGCAAAAGTGCACCGATAGAGGAAAAATTGGCGGAAAAGCAAATCAAGGGCCTCGGTTGGTGTGGTAGATAACACGTAAGCCCCGGCAAGAGGAGTCACGAGTTCGAAACCTATCTGATGTCCCGCGTTTTGTTCATGCTTCAGCATCACCAAGCTCGTGCTAAAGATAATTATTACACATGTAAGGAGGCCCAACCAGATCGCTAAAAGAAATAACCGCTTTGTGTAAACCAGTTGTTGTTCATTTTTCTTTCCTTTTTGGCGAAACCCGAATAGTTCTTCACCACCACTAGTTGCTCCTAGGGGTCCAGCTACACATGGTCTACCCACCATGTATGCT